TCGCAAAGAGGGAGTTATCCCGCGTATGACGAAACGTGTCTTCTCCAAATAGCTGGAGGGGCGCACGCAAGTAAAACTATCTGGGGGGTTTCTGAAAACCTGTGAAAAATGTGAAAAATTGATCTAAGGAGCGGGATTACAATTATTGAAATAGAAAAGTATCTAAGTTGTGTGTGAAATCATATAACTGAAGCGTGAAGGATGTTTGACATCTCTTGTTACATTCGTTGAAGCAAGGTCACTTTAGACCAAAACTGTTTCATTTCCAAGTCATGTGGAGTTTTCTGTTGTTGATTATTATGGTATCACACTACAAACTATAACGATCTGAGGTTTTATATCTATCAACAAAGAAGTAGAGGCGATCAGGGCTATTTGTGAATCTGTTGTGGGAATCTGTAAGGCCCCGGTTGTTCAACTTGAAGGGTGGATAACGCTATACACTGAATAACTCAGCTCTATCTAGTGGATACTGCAGTACGTTTTGTAAACACTCAACCGCTGGATAGCGATTCATCCGTCGGATAGTTTTATCCGCCCTTTATACAACTGGGCCCAGTTGTGTTAATCAATCAGGTTGTATATAGCTAATTTTTCGCATTAAACGGTTATTTTTGCCAAGAACGGAACTGCAGTTGCCTTGAGAATAATAGCCTCATGCATTGATAAATCGGAGTTTGTTTCAAGGCTCTGGCCTAAATCACGTGCTCTAGCTCTAGCTCAGAGACTGAGAAAATTAGTCAGATATTGTACAATCAAATAAAATTTTCTGATATCTCACTTTGTGTAACAATTGTTTTGCCTGTGTCGTATTGCAGTTTCAAGTGTTTATTTTTTACCTCTAATTTTCACGGAAGGGCAACCGACACATGGAAGCTGAAGATAAAAATACTTTTTACATGACCTTTTCCACCTATCGAAGAATACGTGACAGTAGATCTGAAAGTAAATGCTCACGGACGAATACTTCTGGCATCAGGGTTCGTGAGTATCTACTTTCGATCGTCGTCCTCGTATTTACAAAACATACTCAGGCATTAGATCTTTGTAACTCTATTTTCTCTAGAGGCTTTTTAGCCATCTTGCACTTTAATTCATTGAAGTATTATTCAGTTCATCATTTAATAAGTCTAACCTCCCCTCCAACTGAATTTAACGACCCTCATTGATGCATTGCGCATTCTCCATTCTTGAGCGCACGGAATCAAAATGGCCAGGGCTTGCTGGAGGAAGAGTCGTCATTTTTCCTCCTGATTTAACTGCAATTTTATTGTAGCAATTTCATACCTGCACACTGAATTTAGAGCGAATCGCATGGCAGAATAAAAAACAATTGTTAATTTGTTGATAACGTTTACGGCAACGGGAAAAGAGAAATTTGAACTCTGGCTTTGCTTGTTCTTCCTGCTATAATCATTAAAATAAACTAGCGGAAAAAAAAATACAAAATTCTCAAGTGCTGAAATCTAATACGAATATTTTTTCGCAACTAAGTCTACCAAAGGCTTAAAAAACAAAGAGAAGTTCAAGTTTTGTTGTTTACCGTGCAAAATGCTATTAAAACGAAAGTAAGGACCTTGCGTGGTACATTCAAAATTTTTATCGCTCTTACATTTTTTTAAAGTTTTAATGCGTGGATTTGGACTGTTTTCTCAGTTTCGATGCTATCTGCATATCGTTAGGTATATTTAGCTCTAATTTTATTGGTTTATAAT